ATGGCCCCTTTTTTACATTTCATTTTGCCAATGAAATAGTCTATTGTTAAAATAAATAAATAACAAAGTTATATACTTGAACTCCACCTCTTTTCTCCATATTCACTTGTTAACATTCATGTGGAAGACGTGAATTAATTCTAAAATAGATAGACAAAGGTATAATGAAATATTGCTGATGACCTCTTTCAGTCTATCATAAAATGCACTAAAAACGTTGGTTCCTGAAGTTGTTTGCCCTCCGAGTGCTGCAATCTCATCTTTCCTGGCACTATCCTTATCTTCATAAATCTCAACCTGCACACAAAAGCAATGGCGGGGACGGGTAGAGAAGAGTTCAGTCCAGGTCAAAGAAAATAATACCATCGAGGAATGATAACATAAGGTGACAGGCACAAATCAAACAAAGTAATACATCTAGCTTATCAGAAAATTAGGTCACAGCAGGAATTTTGTAGAGGTCATTTTTTCCCAACTCAAAGAAAATGGCCCGATCCTATATCACCAAGCTTCCTGATTGAAGCAGATTCTAGTTTGTACTGCTTCCGTTCCTTTGCATTATATATCCAAAATTCTCTAGTGGTAAAGGGAGAGAGTTATTCTTTTCCACTGAAATGAAAACTTCTAGCCTAGCTTTATTTTTCCATTGAACAGTATTTTCAACTATGGTCCGTAGCAACAATCAAAGTAAACAAACTTTGCTCGTAGAAGCAATTACATCTCTTCCCAAATGCTGCGAAACCAAAATCTTGCACTAGCATGTCATCGAAAAGTTACAATTCAAATGCACACTCCCTCTCTACAAGGAAAACACAAAATTTTACAAAAGAGCGCCAAAAAACCTAAAACTTCCACGCCCCATTGCGTCCTAAAAAATTTGAAAGCGAGAATACAGAAATCAGAGGAAGTAAGTGTAAGATGAAAGTACGAGTTTCTCGGTGGTGGACATGATTGTGTCAATCATGTTGCGGACTCGGTGACTCTGTAGCAAACGGTCCTTGCCGGAAGCAGGTTCATTTTGGAGCTCCTTCACTATAAGACGCTCAAGTCGCTCCACCTCCTCGTGCGAGGCGCGCGTCACCTCTAGCAGAGTAGACGACATGTTCACTCCCCAAGCTCACTCCCGCCGGCCGCCGTATCAGCTTCAGCTTCGGCCCTCAGGCGAGGCGCAGGCAGCAGAGCTGGTAGATGCTTCCTCGAGCTCTGAAGGCCCTCGAAATTGCGCTCCTTAATTTGGGCCTCTTTCTTTAAATTCATATAGCATCCCAATTCCCATTTATATTTATATTTAACAAAATTATGAATTTTATATAACTTTATTAAACAGATCTTTTTTTCCATTATTAAACTTTTAATTTTTAACTTAATTTTTTATTTTGTAGTCAAGAAATTTGTATAACTGCATATAATTTCAAATTTAATTTAAATATTTCCAACCCGAGCCTGGATTGATTGTAATTTGTTTTGTGGTGTAGTCCTAAAATTATTAAAAATTTAGGTAAATGTGTTTAATTATATTTATTTTATATAAAATTAAGAAACAATTTTAGAATATTATTTAACAATTAGATTGGAACCTATAATCTTTTTTAAGCAATGTTGGAAATATTTTTTTTTGACAAATATGGGATGAAAGATTTAATCTTTAATTTTAAGTAGGTAATAAGTGTCTAATTCACAATTAGACTCAGATTAATAGTATACAGAAATAGTTCTTAAGTTATTGAAACAAATATTAATTTGTCATATATTTAAAAAGTAATCTTTAAAAATTATTGAATGAGATAATTTTACGATTCAGACAATTATTGAAAAAATTAATCATCTTAAAAAGTAATCTGTTCTTCAAACAACTGTATATAAATTTTGCTAATTGTAGTCCTTCATTGGTTGATTTCTCTGGTACGCAGTGGTTTTATCGATGATCAATCGCCATTCCAAAAGTAGAACTTACAGCTAACGGGGGAGGTCCTGGTCCTCTCGTCTTGGAAACTTTTGTTGAGACCTTTGAAGTTTGAAGACCGAGTGAGCTCAGGCAATTAAATTTGCTTGAGAATGTGGAAGCTCAGCCGAGGCGTGTTTGGCGATGACGAAGAGCGTGGTCAGAGCTTGTTGGATGAAGATTCAGAAGATCTATGTTCTTTATCTCCTGTACAGGTACTTTAAACAGAGAGTTCGGCTTGCGGAAAATTTCACGAGTTCTGCTGTAGTTTTTTTGTTTTTTTGCTTTTGTCTTTTGTTTCAGTTTCATACTTTTTTTGGATTTTTTTCTGAACAGAGATTGTATGGATTTGGAGCCTGCTTGACGGGGGGTGTGGTTTGTATGGTTCTGGTACGAACATTTAAGCGACTTCTACATTCGATACAACTTCAGATATGTTTATGTTATGTATACATTGTGTAAATGCGAAAACGTTGTTGGTAATTTTGGATTTGGTCCTAAAATTACGGTCTGGGTATGATTTACAATTGCATGACTATTTTGGGATGTGAATAAAATGTATACCCTCTAACTACCACTGGTTGGTCTTCGGGCTTCGAGTATAAATTTAATAACACAACAAACAAAGGAGGTGGTTATGAAGTTGGAAGAAAGCTATGGAATTTCCTCTAAGAAGGGAATACTAAAGAAAATTTTATGTCACTTGATCAATTGGCTGACAATTTCTACCAATTGAAAACGGAGGACTCTAGATTGGGAATTTAAGGAAGAAAATGACCTTAATTATCTTGTGGATATGGAACCTTTTTGCTGATTCTGATGAATTGTGGAATAAGATTAAATCAGGTACTTATGGGAGGGAACAGAGGATGTTTAACAGAAGTAAGGAGGATTGGGTCCTATCAAAGTCCATTGTGCAACATTATAAAACTGAGATGATTTACAGAGGCATTCGCTAGCATTGAGGTGGTAAATAGAAAGAGAACCTTATTCTGGAGAGACTGCTGGTTGGGGGTGTCATCTCTGTTGGTAAGGTTTTCGAGGTTGTTTGCAGCTTCAGCTGATAAGAAAGTGACCATTGGTGGAGGATGTTCTTGGAACGTGACAACCAGGAAGAACTTGACTGAACCAGAAATGGTAGAATTTACAGTATTGATGAATGATGGGTATTCTATGGGATTTGTTTGAGAAGAGAGGAGGATGGAAGAATATGGTAGGTACAATCTTTGGGAGTATTTTTCCAGCGTAGTCTTTGTTCATTTTGGTAACAGCTGGCAGGTTTCCATTGAGCAAGGAGTTGTCTGCAGCAATCTGGAAGGAAAGAAGCCCTAAAGAAGTAAAATTCTTTGTGTGGACATTATGTCATGAGGGTGTAAATTCAGCTTAAGGGATTTGAAGGAGGTTGATTCTAAAACCCAGTTAGCGTATACTTAGTTGCAAAGAAGAAAAGAAACAAGATCATCTCCTTTTTCACTGTTATAACTGTAAGCTCAGTGCTCTCGGTTCTTGGACGAGTCAGGAGAAGAGGATGCTATCCAATTGTAATGTAGTCAAAAACTTGAGAAGAAAGCTAAAAAAATATGGTTTAATGCAGTTAAATAAATTTTATGTGGTTTGCAGTTGGAGAGGAATACAAGATTAACAAAGTAACATGATCTTCATTATTGCATTGTCATTATCACTAAGTAATGGGACCTATTCGATAGTTACAACTAATTTTCAATAACTTGATTCATTGCAGGCTATTTGTCTTGTACTAATGTCTTACACTTCTCACTACCCAGCATCAACAGATGATTTTGTTCGTTGTTTCTTTTTTATTCATCGGTGAATTTGAAGTTCCTTTTGAATTTTTTATGATTCTAGAGCAACATAACCCATCTCTGTTGACTTCTTTTTATTTCTTTATCTGAAACTTCATTTGTGAGATATTTGATGTTTGCTACATTTTCTTCTTTTTGCAGTCACTGCTTGTTTTTGCTAAACCAATCAAGTTTGCTGTACTATTTACATTTGGCAATGTTTTGGCAGTCGGAAGGTAGGTAAACCAATTAAATTAGAAAGCTGTTCTGATAACATTCTATATGCCAGCGGTTAAGAAGTATTATTAGGAGTAGCAGCTTTGTTCACATTCATTGCAAATCCACTTGTTCTGGATTATACTTGTTGTTCTTCAATCTCATAAGTTTCCTTTGAGAGGTCTATTTGTGCATAAACAGAAGAAAGATAATCAAGGAAAAAGCTTTTAATGTATTTCACTGTGTTGTTCCTTTTCCTTGAGGTATTAATATACTAAACCGTCTCTTATTTGGCAGCACAGCCTTCCTCTTTGGACCTGGGCAACAAATAAGAATGATGTTTGATTCTGTTCGTATTTATGCAACAGCTATTTACCTGGGATGTGTTGTTCTAGCTCTTATCTGTGCTCTCTGGGTAAGTTACAATTCTGACCATATAACATTATAGGTGAAAGCTCAAAGAAGCCTCAAATTGCTAGCACTTAAAGATATTCAATAAGCATTCTTTTATAAATCTTTGGAACACAATACCAATGGTTTTTCTTCTCTATTATATGGCATCCTTTTCATCTGTTCCACAAAATTTCAGATTGTGATACGAACCTAAGATAAACTTCTGCAGACTGTTAACGCCTCATATCTAGTTTTGTAATTCCGTTTCTCTGCTGTTCATTTTTCATTTTTCAGATCCACAATAAGATCTTGACGGTGATTGCAATAATAAGTGAGATATGTGCTCTTATATGGTGAGCTTACCTTATCATTGGCCTATCTCCACTCGATTAGAACTAGAGGATAAAGACTTTCCACGATTTTTAGTCGGTGAAAAGTGCCGAATCATATTTTGTGAGACTTTTTCTTGCATTTAAACTAGATTAGGCCTTGACTTTCTTGGTTTATCTTGTTCCAGGTATAGTTTGAGCTATATTCCTTTTGCCCGGAGGATGGTGTCTGAATTGATGATCCGATTGTGTGACACAGAACTTTAGACAATGCAACTTGTGATGATGATTGATGATTCAGAGTCTTTTCTCAGGATCTGGGATTGTCTTTGTCTTAGTTGTTTTTCATCTTTTAGTGAGCACAAGACCAGTTGGAGATTTGTTTGTTTTTGTTTTTTGTTTTTTTTTCCTGGTCGAGATTGATTTTGTCCACATAAATGTATAATCCGAAGCCCGTTTGATGCTTGTGCTAATTTCTAAATATAACAGCTCTCTTTTCGCATAATTAACTGAGTAATCTCTCTCTCTCATTTCTCAATGGTAAGTGATTTTCCAGGTAAACAAAGTCAGAACATTTAGAATGGAAGTAGGGCGGCCAATCATCATCCAATAAGTTTCAGCTTATTATCTGTTGAAGCCCGTTAAACCTTAGATCCAAAATCAGCAAAAGTAGAGCTACATTTTGAGGCCAAGTCATTCTCCAGGTTAGCAGCAACATCTACTTTTGCCAAGAGATTTTGATTTATCCTTAAAATGAAATTTTCTACACTAGTCCACGATAAACTACCACTAAATAGTAAATACTAAACTCAAAAGCTTATTTTGGTAGGCCCCTGATGAGTATGTATAATCTTTTACACATTCTTGACATTCAAAACCACAAACTCAACCAACCAATAACCATCATGGACAAAGAAAAGGAAAAAACAAAGGAAGAAAGAAACAACCTTGTTAGAAAGTCTGGCTTTATTAGCATATATATATTTTCTTTTTTATGGTTTCTCACACAGCTTTCTGAATAGTTAGACACATACACGGAATCATGCTTCATGTGAGTTAAATGCTGGGCTCCAAGCCCACAAAAATCAACAGCAAAAGATCTCAGATCAGAGCTCCTGGCGATATTCTAATGGCCAGTTGCCAGTTAGGTTGTGAAAGTGAAATCTAGAGGTGAGGTATGGAGTTGTTGTTTATGTGTTCTCTTATGACTGAATAATAAAATATTGTATCTATGAGTCTATGACATAAACCTTACATCATAACACCATGTGGAAAACTTTTCACCAACCTCAATGGTCGCCCCACACCTACCCATGTGGGGATTTGCCTTCTTCAACCACCAAACCTTTCTTTTCCAAGTTGATTAAACTCAAACTGCCTTTTAATTATTGGCATCAACTCATCACATTCAAGGTAACACATGTCTGCACTGCTCTGCATATGGCCCATGTTACACATCTTCATCTATTTTACCATAATACCCTCTCTATCTCTCTCCTGGTAATTATGGAAGCTCCAATGCTTTAACCTTTTGAGAATCTTGTTCTGTGGCAAATCTGATCATGTCTTTTGAATCTTTTGGACTATATGAAATTTCTGGGAGCTTGGGGCAGGACTCAGGAGTGAGAACCTGGGAATCAATAGTTTTGACCAGTGATTACCAAAAAGTTTGATGCTTTTGTGTATTTACAGAAAGTGGCCACTGTATTAATGGCAGTGTCCAAACGTGAAAAAATAATGCACTATTCTGTAGAATAGAATCTGTTTTGTTTTTGGTGGGAATCCACTCTCTTCGAATCTTTTAGATCAATATGAAAATGATCCAATTTGAATGGTAAGAACTCGAGATGTTTGGAGATGCATTGTTTAACGCTCAAGTTGAAGAATCAACAATTTGAAATTTCTATTGTTAGTTGTATGCAAAGATGTTTGAAGTTATTTTCATTTTTGGTGTTTGAATTTTGTGTTGTTATTCATTCCAACTTAAGCAGCCCACCAACCCACCATAAATAGGCATTATTACCAAATTCAGTGGTGGCCGAAGACTTTCTTTTTGCCTTTTCCTCATTAATTTAACAACCACAAGCATTCGCCACGGCCTAACTTTTTTCCTATTCCCCATTCCCGTTCTTCTCTCTTTCCTACAAATCAACTCTTTTCCCTTTCGCTAAAACAAACTTTTTATTTCCTCAAGGAACTGATTTTGAACAATAAACTTCATTTCTCACATCATACGCTTCATTAATTGACGACTTTGAATAAACTTACCTCTTTCAACGATTCAAATAACAATCAAACTGAATTCTTGACAAAATTTTATTTAAATGGCAGAGAAAATATCCCACGAAAAAAAAGAAGAAGATAATTTGAGAGATAATTGGATAAGGGTAAAAATAGACATTGTGGTCCTTTTGTTTCTCTCTCTATCACTTTCTCCCCCCTTCCTTTTCCTTTTAGTCTTCTTCAACGCATGTGCTCTGTTTGGTCACTCTCTTTTCCGCTTTTCCATTTTCGGAATCACATTCTTTTTCTGTTTTTCACATTTATGTAAATGGATTTTTTACGAGAAAAAGTTTTTTTTTTTTGAAGAAGAAGAAGAAGAAGAAATGTCTCAAACACACGAGTTCCTATTTTCAGGAAAAAATAAAAAAAGGAATATCATATACATACCAATATGAGGGGGAAAGATTCATTATCTCGATATATGAGATGCATGTGTTTTGATTGTGAAATTAAATTCCCTAAATTAGTCTTCAATTTGGTCAATAATTTATGACTTTTTTTACTAATAATATCTCACAAGTTTGTTCATTAGTGATCAATTATTTTTTAGACTCATTACTATTCACGGGATGCTACTTTTAAGTTCATATTATATAATTTATAAATAAAAAAGTTCATATTATTTAGTATTAAAAATTCATAGGAAAGTGCCCAATAAAATAACATGAAAGCAATCATTGACCATTTAACTATGATATGTGCCAACAATAAATAGATATCATATCTAAATTTATTAATTCACAATGCTAATATATTTCTCAAGGAAAGAAATAAATTAATTAAAAGTTAAAACCCCCCCCCCCCATTTTTTTAATCTCTCATGGCCCAATTTATGTAGTAATTTAATGTGTTTTCTAGTGAAGAGAAGAAAAACTTTTATTGCGTTTTGCAATTATTTAGAAGAATGGAATTAACGCTAATATACTATGTTCCCTTAATTTGTGTGTTTTTCTTTTATTTTCCAAAAAATGATAACTCGTTTTTAATTAATTAAAAAAGTAAAACTAAATTGACTCTTTTCGTGGGCGTGGCCTTTGGAATCTTGAAGGAGTAAGAACTAAGGAAAGGGCCCCTAACCATTTAAACGGCCAACTTTCTTTACTTTACTTCATTTTTTTCATATTATAATTTTGTTATATAATATAGTTTGACCAAATTTGTTGATATAGAATCACTCTTTTCTAATCTTAATTTAACTATTATCAAAATATCTTACACTTAAACTAGAATTGCGACAAATGATCAAAGCAAGCATAGTTCAATGGTAATTGATCGAATTTAATTCTATTGCTAATATATTAGGAAATTTCCTAATGCTAATGCTAATATATTAGGAAATTTGAAATAAATCCATGCCACGTCTTCTTTTAATTCAACAGGTAAAAGTGGAGATTCGAATTTTCAAACCTTTTGACTGAAAAGAAAATATATATTTTAATCAGGTCCTATTCATATTATTTTGTTGCATAAAAAGCCAATTTATTTTCCACTTAGAATATTAGCTCACATGTGATGATTGGTTCCACAAATTTATCTTTTTTCTTAAGAAATATGCTTTCATGTATACAAACTCAACAAGCAAGATGACATCATTCTTGTCCATCTCTTTTTTTAGTTCCTCACCTCGACAATGAGTGAGGTGAGGATTTAAACATATGATCTCACAATATTGTTTTAAACATGTCTTAACTAGTTAAATTATGTTCAAATTGNTATTATGTAACTAAGAAAACTATTTTTTGGGAAAATATTTCTTTTTCTCAAAAAGAATGTTTAAAGTAAAGTATGGGGGAGATGTGGGCATGAGCTGAAACCAAGTATTTTATTGTTGCTTTTGGTTTACCCTTATTTAATGGCATTATTTTGTAGGCAAATAGGGATGGAGAAGTCATAATGGAAGGAAGAAATTAATTAAGAATGGTGCACATGCTTGATTATATTTGCATATCTACCTTTACTTGGACTGTCCAAATTAATTAAATTCACTACCATGTTATGTGTCTAAATATTATTATTCCAAATTCTCTCTCTTATTTTTGTCAAATAATTGGCTGACCCTTTCCCATCTAAGAGAAACCAACAAAATAGCAACCACGTACCTTCCCCACACCTCCACTCTAACTTCTTATTCTTTAACTTTCTTTAAAAATACAAAAAACGAACATAGCTCAACAGTAATTGATCGAGTTTAATTCTCTCCCACATATTGTACTAAAAAAAATATTTTTTTTAAAAATAAAAATGTGCTTACTTACTATTCTTTTATCTTAACATCCATTCCCTTTCTAGCCTTTTAAAAATGTAATTTTTTCCCCTTTTAACCTTTAAACTAGTTTCAAAGACAACTCGAGTTAAAATAATGATGTTAGCTATAAGAATTCATCACTATAAATATATTTGATATCTCCTTTAATGACGTATTTCACTACCAAATATGAAACGAGTTGGACTTTATACGGCCAATTGGTTTAAGAAATTCAGTTTTTTTTCCCTTCTTATTTCACTATCATGTTACAATATATACGATGCAACGTTTTATATATAAATAGTAAGTAGTTTATTGACTTTCTAATCTCTTAAAGGTGATTGTTGCTAATATTTACTATTAATTAATTTAAAAGCAAGTTTAATCCAAATTCTCTTCTTCTCACCAAGTTTCCATCCCATTCCCTTTTTCTGTTAGGTTTGTTTCGAGGGCGGTGTCTAATTGATTATATCTGATTCATTTTTTTTTTTTCAAATCAATGTATTCGGCTTATATAGGAAAAATATTCCAAATTTTTTTTCTTACAATAAATTTAATCGTCTCTTAAATAAACTCAAAATTATATTTGATTTTTGTGAACGAAAGGTAAAGTCAACCACGTACTAAAACATATAAATACATATAAATGACATATTGATCAGGCTATTTTATACTATATAATAGAAAATTAAGATGTTTACACTAACATATTCAAAACTCCAACTAGATACTCCCTACAATTGAATTTTTGCTGCTTGTTTTTAGTATATATTAAAATATATATGTACTAAAAAAATACATATGGAAAACTCCCAGAACTACTTGTGAAAGAAAAAAAAACCATACCTTTATTAAAGAAACTTTTATTTAAAAAACAAAATATCTTTTTTTATTAATTTATTTTAATTGGCCTACAAACATGAATGCCTCGTGGAGCACACGACCCTCGTCCCACCCGGTCCAAAAATATATATATA